TAGTCCATCAGCTGTCCATCAGGCGACCTCCTAAGCAAGGAGAGGTTGGGTTTCAATGTCAGCTTGGAGCGACTGAGATGTGATTTGGGCTTCAGCAATGAAATAGATCAGCTCAGCTTTTTTTTTTTTGCTTTTTTTTTTTTTTAAATTTTTTTTCTTCTTGCCCTCTGGCACTGTCTCAGGATGGGGATGTGGATGAGGAAGGGGCAGGGAGCCACTGGGACCCCAGCCGTGTCATGCGTTTAGCATCGCCGAGGGCTGGGCAGGTCACGCTGTGACCGGCACCAGAGGAAGGGTTTTGGAGCGTGGGTTGGGCTTCTCTGGGGGTTCTCTGGGCTCTTGTGCCAATGTTGGCACCCACGAGCTATTTCTGCACCTCTCACCCACTTAGTTTCCCATGAAGAAGCGAAAAAAACTATACGAGTCCCATTTCATTGCCTCAGTTTTAAATATTTATTTAAAGTCAAAAAAAAAAAAAAAAGGAAGAAGAAAAGGAAAAAAGCTTTAATGAGAACAAACGGTAACTTCAGCCTTGAGAAAACACACAAAACCGATGGTGAGCGAGGGAAAAACCCCGTGAGCGTGGGGGCGGTGTGTGTGCGGGAAGGCAGCAAGCGGGTGATAAGCGATGGGAAGTTTGGCCTGGGGGTGCCGGGGCGAGCCGGCCCCGCGCGGGGATGTGAGGTATTTCTGAGCAGAGGCAGGGCTGCACAGAGGGTGAGGTATTTGGGACAGAGCTTGTTAACCTTTTCTGATGGCTGTTGGAAACCAACCAGCAGGCAGTAGTTAAAATAAAAAAAAAAAAAAAAAAAAAAAAAAGAATACACAAAAAGAAACTCACATATAATTTTTTTTTTTCCTCAAAAAAATAAAATCCATAGTCCATATGAGACATGAAAACTCCAAACAGGCACTGAAGCGTTTCTGATACAGTACAGCTCCGATTACATCAATATTATTCCTTATATAGAATTAAAGATTACCATAATTATCCTCTTTTAAAAAAAAAAAATCCTCCAAATTTACATACAGAGACTAAATTTCTACAAAACTTAACAAAACAAAAACCCTCCAAGCCCAGCTGGGTTCTGAAACAAGGTACCATCATGTCAGCCTTGACAGAGGGGCCAGGCGGAAGGGTTGCAGAGCTGGGGTTTAAATACGAGCGTAGACCAAGGAATCACTGCACGCGTGAGCTGGCATGGACGTGTGGCCAACGCGACTACAGCAAAACTAGTTACATGACAACCGACTCGCAAATCGCTCTCTCTGAGGCTCGATGCTTCCAGAGGAGCGGTATTCCTCACTCCCCTCCCAAAGCAGTGAAGTGCTGATTAATTAAAAAAAAAACCAAAACCAAAACCAACAAACAAATAACAAATTTGCTTTTGAAATAGCCTGTAAGTTATTTCGGACACGCTTTGTTGTTGCACACGCTTGACATCCGCAGCAATGAAAGGATCCCTTTAAAGGTGACTGTTTCTCTGATTTAGCTGTGGGTCATAACAGCCTCTCTTCCTAGCGAGATGGTCCTGTGGGCTTTTGTTTGTTTGAGCCTGTGGCAAGACACTGTAGCACCTTCACAACCTTAAATAGTTTAAAGTCATATATATAAAATAACACACTTTTTTAAGAGCACCAGAGATTTCACAGTGAGAGGTAGAAACAAATCAGATGAGCCCATCCTCTCTCTCTACTTTAGCACCAATCTCTTCCCCTCTCCTCCTTCCATCCCCCCCTCTCGGCTTCGGGACTCTCCCCTACCCCACCACCACACATGAGAAGGGACGTTGATGAACCTCACCCATGGAAGGAGGAACTTAATTTTTTTTTTCTGTTTTTTTTCTTTTTCTTTTTGCTTTAAATAATATAATAATATATATTTTGTTTCTTCTAATATTGCACATCAAAATGCTTCCAGTACACAGAGCAGCCAGATTCAACTTGCAGCTCCGCCTTGGAGACCCGATGCAGCATGTGGCCATCCAGAAGGTGACCAGCTCTGAGGGGGAAGCTCTATCTTTTAATTACTTTTCAATGGAAAGAACATTTGGTAACTCAGGAACCAGGTAAGACAAAATGAGGGGGGGTGTGATGGGGCGGGGGAAACCACACGCTGCAAGTTGCTTGAGGTTTCTCTCAATGTTTTCTTTGGTCATGGAAAAAGCTTTGTGTATGGAACCGCTTGCAACATCTAGTCCCCTGATCCCTTTTAACTGTCCACGTCCCGACTGATACCCGCTTCCCCTACGTCCTTGTTATTCCTCCTTTCAACAATCTGCTGAGTTCAGTAGATCACGGCTTCTTTGAGACCTTGAGCCAAAGGCTAGAGCAAGAGTTGACCCAAAAGATACAGCCCAGCTGTCCTTGCTGCAGAGAGGTGGGAGAGCCTGTGTAAAGACATAGGCCAACATGGGGTCAAAGCCTTGGAGGCCGCTTTCGATGGCTTGGTTCAAAGGAAGCACACGGGGCCGACCTCGAGGTGATATTGCTTTCCTGGCTCGGATGGGGGAAGGTTGTAGATGTTGACAATTGGCAGCTGCTGAGGGTCCTGTGTCCGAAACGAAAAGAGAGTCCGATGCCAGCGTCCATCCTTGATCTGTGCAGGGAGGGGGGGCAGAGAAAAAACTGTTTTACTGGGGGGTGAACACTGCTGGAAAGGAATGCATTTCACTAAGCTAAAAGCTTGCAAAGCCCTATGTGAGACAAGGGGCTGCCCTTTGGGCTGAGCAGGTCTGGGGTGTGAGGCTTGGAAAGCATTTTGGGGAACCCTTTATGCAGGCTGAGCTGATGGAAACTGAGCTTGGAATGGCATCAGCAAACACAAACTCTTAATGCAGCGAATCCAAAATGCCGACACACGGCGAACGACTCGGCGTGGCATCAGGCAAGAGCCGAGACCACCACCTTTGGGTGGCAATTCCCCCTTCTTCCACTTTACTGCTGCTACATGTGATGCCTGACTTTGGAATTTAATTTTTTGCTTTCTGTTTGAAGGCCATCTACTTAACAGGAACCACTGTAGCACCCTGGATAGGAAAATTAAAGCAGTGAACAGGTAAACTAGACCCTTCCACCCCTTTTTTAGGGGGAGAATAAGCAGCACAGGTATAATGAGCCTTGGCGTGTGCCCTGAGTGGGTTCGGCCTGGCATTTCTCTCCCCTCTTTTGCAGCAAGGTACCTTGCAATCATCAGCTGCCACTTCTGGCCTGAGCTGCCCGTCTGCCTCAAACATCTGCCCGTTCCAGGCCCTGAAGCGCACAGCTTTTTCGGAAGGTTTCTCGGAGG